CTCTCCACCTTCTTAGCATCATCCACATCATGGTTGGTATTTCTTAATAGTGAAATGGCTCGACTACCTTCCAGTCCAGGCTATTAAGAACAACAATACTCTAGTTAAAATGGCACTTATAATTATTCAAGAACATGATCACTTACTTAAAAGTAAGGTTAAGAGTACCTTTTGTGTGGCGGCATTATTATGATGCATCTCCACGACAAGTGGGTTGGCTTCTCTCTGTTCGACTATCTCTCCATCCTGTTCATTAAGAAAATTAAGTTAAAAATATTGACACAAACAAATACTAGAGACATAGAATGAGTAAACCTTACCTTCTCTTTTTGTTTCAATGGACAACTTCTTGAGTTGTGGCCTCGCTTGAAGCACAAATGGCATGTGATTTTTATACCTTGTCTTGACACTTTGAATCCATTTTTAGATTCTCCTTCCTCTCTTATCCTTTTCTGTTTAGGCCTACCGGGCATAACCCGAGGCATTGGTGCCACCAAAGGTTCTCTATCACTAGAAGGCCACAGGTTATCGCCATTCATTGCTTCCAAGTAGTGACTGTATGTCTTTAAATAGATATCCTTCTTATACCAGTGGGCAACAAAAGTTTCTATCTCCTCCCCTTTGAATAGTATGACACAGATTGCATGAAGGCATGGAATCCCACTCAAGTCCCATGCCCTGCAAGAATAAGAGTTGTTTCTTATGTCCACTACAAATTTATCGTTCCTATGGCGCACTTCAAATCCATCTTCTCCATTCCAAATCACATGACAAAAGGCACTTTCTTTTTTATTGCCTTCTATCTTCTCTAATATCCTTGGCGCAATTTCCCTTTTCCATCTTTGACATGCATCTCTTTTTTCACGCATTCTTGTCACTATCTTCTCTCTAATTGCCTCAAGCATAGATATGATAGACATGTGTCTAGCTTCCAGTATCGATCCATTAAATGCTTCTGACAAGTTATTGTCCACAATATCTGACTTGCATATAGTTTTAAAGTGAGCCTTGCACCAATATTTTGGAGCAATCCTCATCAAATCAGTCTTTCCTGTCTTGCTCATCTTATCCAATTCCTTGAGGTGTTTTTCAAATTGTGGGATTGTAGTTGACTTTGCACACATCCAAAATTGCGTACGACAATCATTTCCCCCATTCTTCTTGCACCAATTTGCATAGATATGTCTTGCACATCGTCGGTGCTCAGCCGATGACATCTCCTCCTCCAGTACCTGCACAAGCCCCTACAGCAGAATACATGATATCATCATATATATAATGAGGTAACAATATGGCACACATGGAAAATACAAAATGAAGGAAGATCATTACCTTCTGTTGATCTGAGATCACTGTGTATCCTACACCATCCTTTGTGCCAAGATCGTTCTTTAAGGCCTCTACAAACCAGCCCCATGAATCCTTATTCTCGACCTCAACAACGGCCCATGCGATAGGGTACATTTGATTATTTGCATCCCTCCCCACAGCAGTCAATAACTCACCCTTCAACATTCCTTTTAAGAAACATCCATCCAACCCTATCAAAGGTCTGCAACCTTCAAGGAATCCCTTTCTCACGGCATCAAAGCAAACATAAAATCGTTGGAAGATGGGTCTTGAATTTGGTGATTCTCTTATAAACTTTACCTTCACAGTATTTCGAGGATTTCTATGAATAATTTCTTCACAATAATTCCACAACCTATTGAACTCATAGGAGTACATCCCGTTTAGTTTTTCGATTACCCTTCGCTTAGTCCTTCTAAACTGGCTTATGGTGACATCTAAGCTCATTTGCTCTCGCACAATTTTCTTGAACTCCTGCAACTTCATTGAAGGAGCTATCCTCCACAAACTTTGATAATGCTTCGCCATGTACGTAGATGTAAACCTCCTCACTTGAAAAGACCAAGAGCACGTGTGCTCATCTTTGAAAGTTTTCACTGTAAACAAGCCTGTCTTATTATCTCTAGCTGCATAAATTAACCAGTTACAATTTTTAGCTTTACATTTGGCCCTAACTCTCACCTTGTCATTCTTGATAAAATCAATATTAACTCTTCTGGTAGCTGCATATTTGTTGATAGCTTCCTTAAACTGCTTAGGGCCATCAAATACCATATTTAGTGCAAAGTGAGGTATCTCTGTGGTTTCATCAAACTGCGCATGTGTGCTTTTCCTTCTAACGGCCTCCTCTGTCTCTAGTTCATCTTCATCACTCATGACAAAGCTCCAATTAGAATCACTTGAGTCAAAGCATTCAGTCTCAAACTCAACATTATCTTCACAATGGGTTGTTATAGCCTCTTTCCTCCCCCATCTTCGTCTTACTTCAACATCTATTTCACTAGGTATCTCTAGCAACCTAGCAACTCTATATGCATTTTCTCCCTTAAAAGTTCTAATTTTTCCCCTAGCCGCTTGAAGTTCTTCTTCTTCATTGTCAGATAACCATGGGACCTCAATCGATTTCATGATTTTGCCCATCAATAGGCATTAAAACTCCTTCATCTTCTTCGACGTTCATCAATCCCCCCACTAACCCATCACCAATGCCAACACTCACGTCTTCACCATGTTCAATAAATATCTCACATGTACAGTCAATATTTGCCCAAAGTCGCATCATTTCCTGTACTGAAGTGTCATCTTCAATTAATCTTAGACTATTCTCAAAATTCTTACCCGGCATTAAATAGTGGAATTTCTCAATATTAGAGTAACCCATATCTTGTACCAAGTGTAAAATCTCAAAGTAGCTCAGCTTGTCTGGATCATTGAGCCACTCACTACTATGACCATCAACATACTCTACTATTCTATCACGAACAAACCTACCTCCAACCCATAGAGTAAATCGGAATGTTTCATCAGCCATGTAAATTTGCAAAAAGATAAACATAAAAATCAGCTAGACTAAAAAAGATAAAGGACACCAGCCAATCTATTTCTATTGTTTATACAATATAAACAAATAAACACCAAAAGTATAATCTAAAGACAAGAAAACAAACACAAATGAGGGCCGCGTCTGAAAAGCCAGGAAAAAGCTACAACCTAAAACTACGGCAAGTTGGGACCACATTATAACAAAACTTACTGTGCACTCGATATTGTTTTAATACTCTCATAGGGCATTGCAAAGCACAACATGCACAAATAAACTATTCCCATTTTACATCATGACAATGCTTCGATCGAGTCGGATAAACCGTGCATTATCATCTTCGAGAAAGCCTTTGTTAACCCATTTTCAAGAAAGCCCTAAATAACCCTAAATAAAAGCCATGGAGGAGCCTGTAGGACACGTCGTCCTTGTAAAACTCCTACGTGTACGGACCCGAGTCTTCTTTGGAAGCATTACGCACGAGACAACATACCGGGCACAGAGTAACGTCTTCCGTGTGACAAGATATGGGTTTTAGCTTCAAGTGTGTCAAATTGAGTCTTCATCTCCACTTTTTGTTCTTTTTCTTTCTTCGACTGTTGTACGCCTTCTTGCGTTTTTGTTTCTGAAATTTTGGTCAGTCAATTTTTTTGCTTCTAAGAAGCAAGTCCTTCAACCCACAAAAAAGAAGAAGAAGCAAGTCCATCGACCCAAAAAAAAAGAAGCAAGTCCTTCGACCCACAAAAAAGAAGAAGCAAAATTCCAGAACCAAAAAAGCATACCAAACACAAACTTGCGTTCAAGCTATAAAGAACACGAGCTCTTCCGATATTTCAATTCTTCGATGTTCACACGGTTCTCACTTCCTTCCCTCGTTTTGATTTCTGATTGAGCGGATCACGCACAGGCAGTGGCGCGTCCTCCAAGACCCCAAGATTCGAATCGTCGCCAAGATCGACCTCAACCCAACCTTCCTCGTTTCAGTATCGATCCCCAAGCATTTTGAGAAGTCTGATGTTGAGAGGAAGAAGAATCGTTGAAGAATCGTGGAGGAGGAAGAAGAGGGTTATGTGACGCCCTAATTTGTTTTTTTTTTGTAAAATACTTGCTGGATCATTATTTAGTATTTAGAAAATCCAACTCAGCTCCATATCATCAGTTAACTGCTCACGTCATCAGCTTAACGGTTTGAGCAAACTGATGACTAGACTCGAACATTTATCCATAGTTGGCGAATTATTTTGGACAAATTAAAAGTTCATTGACGAAATCAACATCAACCAAAGTTCAGGCACTATTTGTGTCAATTCCTCTATATATCGTTTATTAAATAAAAATCTAGTCTGTGCGATTTCCCAGGGATTGGATTGAGAGTCTCCGCTGTGATGATATGTAATTTTAATTTTTTCTCATATTCTCTAATATCACGAACAAAAATTCTCTAAATTTATAAGTAACTACTGATAAAATGGGATCATTGAAATAAGATTTCCGAGACACCACCCTGTTATCTAGAATATAAATTGGTAACTTAAAACAAGCGAAGCGTTTGTTTTACTAACCAAAGCATTACTACTCTCTTTTTAATGATGGTCGGTGGGGTTAAGCAGAGCATGTGCGCAACGCAAATGGAACCCTCTTCTTCGTTCCATTGACAAATCTCTCTCTATTTCCATCCACGCTAGTGCTAGTAGTATACTGTAATCCCGTTCGGTCGTCCTCCTTGGCGTGTTTATCCTGGGGATTCTCGAGAATTCGAAAAAGCAGAGGAAGAAGAAAGAGATTCGACGGTGGGAAGACACGCCCCCACCCACCCCCTTCTCGGATAAAGCAAAAAGTTGAACATCTCTAGAGAAGAAGGGGCCGAACAAGCAGATCGGATTGTACTCGCTGGGAATTTTGATCGGTACGGATGTGCAATTCGTTCTCGTTTGTTGCGTTCCTATTCGGCTGAGTTCTGAATGAGTTTTCGATGATGGGTTGTTGTTCGCGGATGAGTGTGTGTGTGTGTGTGTGAGAGAGAGAGAGAGAGAGAGAGAGAGAGATGGACAAGAAGGGTCCGGATGAGCTGTGTGCCGTGTCATTCAGAATAAGATGATGGGTTGTTGTTCGCCATCTCATTCTCTCCTCCTTCCTTTTCAAGGTATATATGTAAGTAGTAGATATGTGCTGTGTGCATTTGCTACTCCTGCACCCACGATGATAATTAGATCACACACCTACCCATAACACACTGACCGAGTGACGATGGCTCTTCCAGATTGTTGCGGTGGGATATGCCGTCCTGACGACGACTGGGTCGGTGGATCTTGACCGGAAAATGAGGGCTTTTCGGGTCTTACCCATGTTCCTCTTTGCCTGCTCCTCTTATCTTTCGCATCTTATTCTGCTCTCGTCAGCTTCGCAGGAATGTGCCAGTGTCTCCAACCAAAATGTTTTAAGCCTTTTAAGTAGCTTCTCATTCTTGTACAGTGTACACTACTCTTTGTCGTCTTTCATATGGTTTCAGATTTTGCACTGTCGTTGTTGCATTGCTTTTCGAGAAAATGTACATCATCGATTTGCAAAAGTTCACTAGGAAGCAGTTGTTTTAGCGGTTGGGATATCGATGACGAATGTAAAGTCGGGCCATAAATTTCTGATTTGAAATGAAAATAAGAGAGGTAGTTGAGTTGTTCAATAGTAGGTGGGCAATACGGATGGCTCTTATCCAAACCTAAAAAGGCTGAATGCGTTTGGTCGTCCGGATTTCTAAACAGATAGACTGGATAGATAGTGATAAGAATCCCGGATTTCTTCATATCCTATCCATTTGTTCGCGAACTACTGATTTAAAGTCGGATAGATAAATTTTTTTTTTTTTTTGCTATTCACTGGGTCCGAGAAGTCAAACAAGAAAAAAAGCGAGAAATTTTTTTGATGAAAGCGCACAAGGTGTGGGGATGAAGATGACAGTCAGTGGAGCGTAGAGTTTCGGAAAAATAGGTATTAGAAATCCTATCCTGGCCCATCCTACCCTCCCCCGGATTTTTTATCCGGTTATATCCGCCTATATCCGACCTTATCCTATCCCGGACCACCACAAAAAACACGGGATGTGATAAAACATATCCTATCCCTGGCTTTTATACGGTCGACCAAATGCAGCCAAAGAGTAAAGAACCGCAGAGAACGAGAATCATTCCGGCATAAGCAAATACAAATTTACTTAATACTTTTTCCTCCTCATCACGACATACTTGGGAAACCCTTGAAATTTTTACACTAGCTTCTTCTGGTACCATCTTCTGTATATCTTAGCGCCTTTGAATTCTGCATCGATTTCTCTCTCTGTTCGTATCTCCATTGGGTTTTTCGATGGCCATCCGCCCACACAGCACGAAATTGTCATATCGATCGAATCGACATGTTGAAGCAAATCGCGCCTCTCATCGAATAGATTTCTCATGTCAACAGCCACTTCGAGCACATCGGATCGTATGAATACCTACAATGATCACCGCTACGGTTAATAGCATGAGGCGTCAAAATTAGATACTTATTGTGGAACAAAATAAAATAATGAGTATGAAACTAGGGCACAACACAATCAAATAACCAATCCAAAAAAGAATGTGTAAATTATTAACTCGGTGAAATTGACCTACGAGAATCCCGACTTTGTCAAGATCCTCGAGCGAAGGGCCGAGAAAAGAGTGAAGTTCACATAATTGCTGCCTAGCTATCAACGGAAAGACGCGTATTGTACCAAATACTAAGCCCACACCGCATGCTTTGACCATCAGATTGCTACCAATGACATAAGCTAAAGATAAAGATACACAGAACTATTGCTATCGATTGCAGAACCAATCACTGTGGCAACAAGATAGAAGCTGTTTGGGCGGAAACATCGGAGGCCGCACCAAGAATGGACAAATTGATCAAAGAAGACTCCACATCAGGGGCATGGTGGATAACAGAATGGCCTGCAATTTTTAGTGATACCAAGATTGCAAGCTTATTCAATTCTTTAGCCATGTGCGAGAGAGGTTTGGATATGTAACCTCCGGATCATGTGCGATAGATATATGATCTATATTCTGAATAAATCGTGGATCCTAAGGCCCAGGACACCCGAGCATGATTTCCATAAATCTCTCATGCAGCAGACCATATCTCTCCAAGTAAAACAAGAAACATGCAGGTCTCTCGACCTCATTCCTTCGTAGTTACTGCACTACTCTCTCTCTCTCTCTCTCTCACGCACGCATGCACGCACATCAAGTTCTCTCTGGGAAACCATGGGAACCGGACATCGTATCACATTTGTACTTTGACCAGCTGACACTGTCCCCATATGTACTTCAACCTTCTGGAAGATCAAAACTTTTGGCTCCTAAGAATTATCTTGAAAGCTTTAGTTCGCCACTCCCCATCCTCTTGCATTTGCCATGTGGAAGTGCAATCTACAATTTGTGGCTAATAGATGGGACATACAGATTAAGTTTGGTGACAAATATGGGAGTGACTGTACTTACCAAAGTCAAAAGCTTAACCACGACTGGGAGAGTGATTTCAACAAAGCACCAGAGGATGTGAAGTAGCGATTTCTAGCTCCAGGCACAAAATTGCCTTCTCCTTAACCCAAATGCTGTTTTCCGTCTGAACAGATCATTTGACAGTAGAATCTTGAAGTGCAAACAGTGTTAGGATTGGAGCACAAATCTTTATGCCCATGGTTCTATAATCATCGAGAGATGGCATCAAACTAAAGTTTGGGCTATAGCAAGAGGAAATGAATGAACAATCAATATGCACAATTTATATAATAAGCCATAACAGAATGACAGGCCTGTTGATGGTTTAGGGTTAGATTTTGTCTATCGAATTCCAATAGTTACACAGTCACAGACACACACCAGAATGGCATGCGGATTGATTAGGGTCAGATTTTGTGACTGTCAAATGCCAATAAAAAAAATTTCAAGATCCTGCATGTGGCTAACTCCTAAGTAATGAACTGGTGAGCAAGCCAAAGAGTCTCCTCAATGGAATAGACTAAGTTTCATATCCCCTATTTCAGTAACATCAGATGCAAGTGCAACTTCGAATTATCAATTCATCGTTCCCTATGAGCTTATGACTCCTGGATACTACCTGCAATCAGCTTGGGACAGATTCCATAAGAAAACTAATGCTCACCCTAGACTGCACAATTAATTCAAGAGGAAACACGCTCGAATTACCTACACTGTAATAAGACCTAGTTTGGTTGTTGGGAGTAACATAAGAGGAACGGGAATTCATCCCTCATTCCAACGAGTAGGAATGCGGAGTGGGAATAGGACTCAAGAGCTATAACTACTGCTCAGGTTTCATTACTGAGCGAGGAATATGAATTCTAAATCATTTTTAGTATGATCGCTACAATTAAAGAGTGTCAAAAGTTAGTTTTTCCACTTTCTTATTATCTGATTGATCTCCCATAAAAACTTGGAACATGCCCATCACACTATCTTTCATGTGTTTTCACTTAAACATGCACCCTTTCGCATTTGAAAAGCACCTCGTATCATTCCTCCCAAAACAGCAGACCAATAATTACTCCCATCTTTGGCCATCACGAGTGTTGGGTAGGGTTTAGTTTGGGTAATTGCAGGTTTCACTCAGTTTCCCCATGGAATTAATAAGCCACCTCATTTTCATTCAGTTATAATATCACTTCATACTACTTTTCATGCTTGTTGCATTTTTTACAATACATTTGCTCAATGTCAATGAGACATATTTGATCGTAACAAGGGATCAAGAACTGATGTAAATAAATAGCTATCATGTCAAACTAACAAATTTCTGCTCTTACAGCAAGCCCCGTAAGTACACCCCATGATCCTCAACCGCTAAACATTCTTTCCATTTGCTATAAGCCCAGATCCAGCAGCTGAATTTTCTACCAGGTATCACCATTTTTTGGTTTGAGCTGTAACTGCTAATAAAGGAAAAGAGTTAGAATATCACGGTGGTATCTTAGTATGAAAAGATGATCAGCTCAATGTGGACTGAATAGAATAAGCAAGATTTCCGTCGGCTAAGCAGTGATTCTGCTAGCACTATTGATGGAATTGCAAAGCAGATTATATCGATCCAATAAAGATCGTCACACATGTGCATTTGAAGCTCATCGTTGAACTCGTATTTTCACAACAAAACATGAGAAAGTATAAATGCAGCTAACAAGCAAAAAAGAACAACATTTGATGGAAAGAACCCATCCGTAATCATTCTACCGGCAATGGAATACCGAAATGCAGCTCACATACCTTCCCCCCAGGCGCTAGACTATCCAAAATAGAATCTACCAAAGGCTTCTGCACAACCCTTCTCTTGTGATGCTTTTTCTTGACATGAGGATCTGGACACTGCATCAAAATATGGAACGAGAGCACTAAGTTCATTCCTCCAGCATGCAAACTAGTTAAAACAATTTGGGAGGTAAAGAGATGTGAGTTCCTAAGAAGTTTTAAAGACAAGACACTTACAAGGATCGAAACTAACATCAAAGGACCTGGGTAAGTGGACATTATATGTTTGAAAGAAACTGTGGCATTTGCAAACAGAAAATGTCTGCAATGAAGTCAAGAAAGCTATAAGAAAAACAATGATATGCAGATTGATCAATGGATGGTAAATTACAAAGCCTACATGTTCTTTAGAGCCAGATCCTTTACCCGGCATTCCGCACGCTTAGCAAGCGGCAAATAGTACATTTCAAGAATACGAACTAAATCTCCACGCTCTTCCATCAAATGAGAATAAACCAAGATTGTAGTACACTGACGCATCAGAGTAATTGCTGAGTGTGCTAGAAGCAACCCAAGGTGTTCATGCCATACTTTCTACCGGATTTCCAGTCCCAGATAGTTTCCCGAGGAATTTGGTTTTGCGAGCCACGCGAGAAATCTGCCACTGCCTGGGAATTTCATGTACTCTCAGTTGAAGAAAGATGTCAGGCAAGCAACAAGACGCCCGTTTACTGGAATGAGGTTGAAGCGATAATCATAATGACAGAGTCAGCAAGACAAATTAAACAAAATAAAGAAGCAGAAGAAGATTTTAGTAACTCAAATGTCACTTCCCAAACTCTACGGTCTGAAATTGTTATTCTGGCTCCAGGTAGTTTCACCTCAGTCACACCTTATTAACCGGTCATCGAATCTCATCATTACCATAAACTTGGACAGACACACACAAAGGAATAAGATATACATCGTGCTCATCATCCAGTGAACATGGACAGCCGCATACGGGGGAATTAGATCTGAATTGCGCTTGTCATCTACCAATGAAAAGATAACAGGTGGTTGACACGTTCTAAAAGAAGAGAAGGAAGATTTTGTAATGCCATGTCACTTCATGAGAGCCTAAATGACCCTGCAGTCTAAAACACAAACAAGCTAAATCGAGTACTTCCACAGCTTTACGGGCTCGTCCTAAACCAATTCATTTGAACTAAAGAAGGGAATTGATATATCGAGTCACTAGATTATTGATGGACCCTCAGATCAAGTACCTTTTGAACAATCGTACTCCTTTTCAAGTGTTCACCAATAA